ACAATAAAATTTCTTTATTATTTTATGCTTCCAATAAAACTTTTTTTTTCAAAAATTTTATGCAATAAGATACGTATTTTTTTACTTTAAAATGCGCTTTTAATTTATATTCATTGTGTAATTCTAGAATATTTTCACTCGTTTCCTGTTCTGTCTTAGTTCTCTGAGTGGAAACAAGAGTTGCCGATAAAAACAAGTCGGCTGCCGTTCGTGGCGCGTGTTTTGTGTGCGTTTCAGAGCAAGCTACACTAGAACACAGTATTTTAATGATTGCACGCCCGCCTTATTGCCTACTCGCCGCGAATGAACAATCGCCTTTTCCGGCCGGAGAGGGTGCATGTCGCCGTCGCACGTTCCTTCGTTGGCTGTTGGAACACCAGCTCAAGTGCTGTTGAAACGCAAACTTGCAGGCAATACTTCTTCGTCTCTCTATGCCAGAGCACTGGAATGCGATGAGGAACGTGCCGCCCAAAGGGTTAATAATCCGGCGGCAGGCAATCAGGAATTGCTTCTGGTCGGATTTCTTCTTTTTTTTTTAGCGCCAACTCGCCAAACCAATTATTTTTTATTCGCTTGTGGGCGTGCGACAAAAGTTTCGGGCATCAATCACTTAACTTTAGATTGGCGGCGGCTTCGCACATACGATGACTTTTTGAATACTTTAATCGCGTCACCTGATGCCATTTTTCACAATAGGTGCGCAATCACCGTGAAACAGAGCAGATTTTTTATTCGGCTTTTACTCTCGGAACAAAAGCGTCGAATGGAGTGAATATTTTATAATGTACATGTGTGTGAAAACGAGTTGAAATGAAATTGTTCTGCTTTCGAGCTGTGACAAAGGGTGGTTAATGGACGCGTATTGCAATTTTATTACTCGTCCCAATTATATTTGCTGCCAGTGGCGGATTAAAGCGTGCAATTAAAAGTGAGCTCTGCACTGTATGTCATTTTAATTGAGGACTTCTGTTTATTTTACACCCACTATTGATGGTTTCCTTTCACCAACGATATAAAAATAATTTTGATTTTAAAATTAATTATAAAATAAAAAATTCATCCGAAGTGAAGGATTTGCTAAACTTGATTTATTTTTATAAATAAATATTATGGCAAATCCACCAAAAAAAGAGCTTCGGTGTATCATTTTCAAGAAGTTAAATTGTAATATATAAGAAATATTTCAAATTGCCCTAACTGAGGAGAAAAAAAAATTAGAAGATAAAATAATTTCTACATTATTTAATTGAAAATTTTATTTCTGTTATTTAACATGAAAATCTCATGACCTATCATTAGTTTATTAAATCTATTAAATTATTTTAAGAGATTTTTAAACAAAATTTAATTAAAGCTCGTTGGATGAAATAAGTACATTTGATTTTTCTTCAAACAAGCTTATAACTGCCCAATAAATTTGTTTTACAATTGCAGTTGATTAAGACTCATTAATGTACTCCATTTTCTCTCTGCGCAATCTACTGAAGCGCACGTGCTGAAAAGTCGGCGCTCTTAAATTTTCCCTGATGCGAAAATTTTTCCTCCCGCGTCGAATGAGGTGGGCGGTGTGGAAATTCCTACCTGCCGGCGAAGGTAATTGTTTCGCTAGAAGCCCTTTAATAAAACATAAGTGCGAACAAAGTCCTCAAGGCTGGCAAAAAAAGCGTCCACCGGCGGCCCAACTTTTGCAACCCTTTGCATATTTAAAGGGGCTGCCGGTGGAGAACGGCAGCAACACGTATACTGCTTGCGTATGTGTTTGTGCGTGTGCGTGTGTAATTTCAGCTGCGCTGCTTTGAGAGCGCAACAACTTCTTGCGAACAGCTCGCGCCTTAAGTAATTCCAACAACCGACGTGGCAAATGCACTCAAATCCGCCTCGAGGCGCCTCAGCTTCTCGCACAGGTGCATTGTTCTGCTCCGACGGGAACAACAGAGAGCGTCTTTATTGCAAACAGCCCTGCAAAAAGCCGGCCGAGCTGGTTGCCTACCTTCGCGTGCTTGGCCATTATGTGCGAGGGCATTAATTACGATGAGTGAGTTCAGTGTTTCGCAAATCGAGGTGAAGCGCAAGTGACTTTTCGCTTTGTTGGCGAGCAGTGCGTATGATGTGTTGGCAACGACACATCCACACTCCACAAAGGGATCACGAAGGACATAGAAATTTAATATGTATGAATAGAAGGTAAAAAAGTGGGAAAAGAAGATTGATTTTTTTATTTAAATGAATAAATAAATTGCTAAGATACAATTCATTCTCTTTAATATAAATTAGCAAATTGATATGAATTTTTATCATGGCATGGTATTTTTACTATTTTTAAGGAAATGAAGAAATTGCAGTTGAAAATTAACAAAATTTATCATCGATCTAAATAACAATAAGAACTAATAATAACTTAATAAAAATTTTTATCACAGATTATGAAGAAAAAATAATACTAATTTTACCATACGAGGTCTAGTTGCAAGACCAAGAAAATTTAATTTTTAGCACTCTGACACTTTTCATTGTTAATTCTTTGCAATTCAGTATTTTAAAAATTGAAAAACAGATTGAAAAGAATGCGAAATGAATTTATTCTTCTCTTTGTTTTTTTTAATGGAATTTTTATTTACACACATTTCTGCCATCAATCGAGGAATTCATAAAAAAAGAGCAAATTTGCCAGTCGAATTTTGGCAAACAATGCGATTTTCCGTGCAGAGCTGAAATATTCACCGGCCATAAAATTCAGAGAGAACAAACACACAGAGAGAATTTCCCCAACATTATTTCTACTTGTTACATATTTCCAGCCCCCGATTCGCGGGCGTTTTCTGCACACTTGATTGAACAACAAAGCTAATTACGCAGCGCCGATAATAGGCGTAGAGTACGTGCGCACCACGATCGGAGATCAATACGCGAAGCGTGGCGCCACCTGAAAACGGCCGATCCAATGCTGTAATTGACGGCTGCTCGGTTTTCCGCACTCTTTCAATTAGGCGCATTGTGTGTAGGCCCTGATTAAGGTTTAATCAGAGGCGGCGCACACGCTTTTAATTAAAAGTCGCGGCGAATTATCGCGCCACCGCCGAGAGAGAGCGAGGCCCGTAAAGAGTTTTAATGAGCCTCCGCACTTCGATATTATTTGCCGAGCAGGCTGTTGTTGCCGCGATAATTCCGCAGTCTATTTAATTAAGGCGAGCCTGCGACTCTATCTATGTTTGGAATTCCTGCAGCACTCTGGAATGATGCAAACTTTGATGAAAATGCAAACAAAACCATCCAACTGATTCTCATTCAATGGATAAAAAAATGAATTAATGTTGCGAATACAACACGCAGTGTCCTCAGGCGGTCACCAATCCTAGTACAGACTGCACTCATTTTAGCTGATCTTCAGTGATCGGACGAGAACCAGTTCTAGTTCATGTAGGAAAATTGTTTCAGCAAGTATATTTATTAAAAATAATTAAGTTGCATGGAATTTCTGATGAATTAATAATGAACACAGGCAAATTAGTAGAATAAGAAAAGCAAAAAATATGGGCATGAAATTCCAAATTTTTAAAAACCGTTCCTAATTTTTAAATTAAATGATAACAATTTCCATTGAACAAAATTAAGTTGTACTATAAAATTATTTCAATTATACATTGTCTTTTTAAAATCTTCATTAATTTTATACCTTCATTTTAATTTTAAAAGTAAGGTTTATAATTAAATTTTTAAATGACAGTCATAATTCATTATATGGCACTTTGAGATATTATTTGGGTAGACACCCAAAATCTTCTTCTACTCTCGGAACTCGGAACGTTCATCACACTTGACGATCCAAGGGTTTGGGCCGAGCGCCTCTCTGCTCCTTTTGCCCAAAACTACAGCAAGCAGAACAAAGCCGGTCGGCCGTGCAGTGCAGTTTTAAGCGACGGGGTGCCATCCCGACCGACCGAATCTCATCTCGGGCAAACTCGCTCTGTCACTCGGCGGCGGCGGCGCTTCGCAAACAAAGCTCGGCCCTCCTCAAACCATTATTTACCAAAATTATTAAGCACAACGCCGCTATAATTGCAGATTTATCTATATGAAGACAAAGCGTCGGGTGGGCGGCTTATGGGGGTCGGTCGGTGTGTACATCGCGCGGTCTTATCGGTGCCGGACAAGGGCGTGCATTTTGCATAGTCGACTACTCTTTCAATTTGCCATCGGCCGTGGAGCAACGCTCGCATGTTTTATTCATCAAAGGACGCATGCAGAGAGGCCGGAGGACGCACAAAAGCCACTTTAATGAGTGGAACTTGCCAATTATTATGTAGGCAGAGGTGCGAAATGCACTGGAAGGGTTGCTTGATACAGGGTTGGATCCGTAAATATGCCAACAATTTACAGAGATTGAACTTTGAATTAATTAACTAACATAGATGACGGTAAATAAAAAAGAAAGCACAAATAACTCTACTTAATTTAATTTAAAAGCAAATTGTGCATACAATTATTTTAATGCGTATGCAAAATCAATGACCAAGTGCATTTGCAACCTAATTGAATGAAATATTGAAAATAATTTTTTTTACAGTGAGTAATTGTGTTATAAAATTAATAGAAAGAGTTATAACATAAATTTATTTTAATTAAAGCATTAAGATCAAATTCCGAATTTAATTACTAGCAGAGGTTTACGATGGGATCAAGTCGATTTAAACCTTCTAAATCTCCAAATCGCAAATTCAGCCCGAATCTCTTTCCCCCCAAAAAGCTGCGCGTGGCAAAAATCTCCGGTTCTACGTATATATTTGGAGATGCAAATTTCCGGCGACGCAGGCACGCGTTAAATCGAGAGCACGCGCCTAATCTCGGCCATTATCATAATATCGGCCTAATTAATGGCGGCAATTACAGAGAGCGCGCGGCACGAAATTCATTTACAATGTAAATAGTTCGCCAGCGTGCACAGGAGCAGCTGCTGCTCCGACGTGTCGAGGGAATTGTGAAAGGAATTGTGCGGTACTTACCAAGGGCGAGGCCGTCTTTGACCCACTGCACCTGGCCGGCGAGATTCGCCACTTGGCACTGCAGCAGTGCCTCGCTGCCCTCGTGGACGCTCACGTTGACCGGCGACACGCTGAAGCTCTGCGGCGTGAAACCGCTGCATCTGCCCACTGAAACAAATTTAGCAAGAAAATAAGGTAAAAAAATCACAATTTCAAGTTTTAGGAGTGAAAAATAAATTGGTTATAAACTATTTTACTGAAAAAAATGCGCCTACAACATGCAGTGTTCCCAGGCGGTCACCCATCCAAGTACTGACTGCACTCAACGTTGCTTAACTTCGGTGATCGGACGAGAACCGGTGTGTTCAACGTGATATGGTCGTAGACATTTACAACTGGCGAAATGTTTGGTATTTATATAATTTTTGAACCAGTCGAAGCTACTAATCGCCTTGCTCAAAAATGTTGCGAAAGAATGCGTTGTAAAGGGAACTAAAACCACTTTCCTCCTGGATTTCCGGAGAGAAAACACGCGCTTGCTGACAAGAAAAGTGATTTCCTCCATCGGAACTAATTGGATTTTTGGGGCCAACAACAGAGCAGGTTTAAAAGTCTGAAGGGTCGGAACACACGGCCAATCTGACACAGGAGTATGTACTTGAAATTAACTGAAGTGCCGTTTTGCCAAAATAATCATTTTGAATCAAAATTTGAAATGAATTAAATAATAATTATATTATTTAAATTATGAAATAAGGTCACAAAATTAATTGGTTTGCTTTTGTTTTTCCATTTTCAAGTTAGAAATATTTCAAATATTGCTTTTATTTTTCCTTTGATCCTCTCTAAGACAACAAATTACTACCTATAAAGGCGTGCACAGAGCAAAGGAGGTAAAATAAAATGCTCTTGGCGCAAAGTTTTCGCTTTTTCATTTGCATCGGTAACCAGAACTGTGATTACACTTTTGCTGAAGGAGAAAACGACTTGCGGTTTTAAAAGAGCTTGCAAGAAGAAAAGACCGAGCAAAGAGAGAATACGCATAATAATCGAATTGAATTGTTATCAGATTCATACAATGCGCCGCGGCATGATAACAAAATGGGAAACATTTTAAAGTTTTCAACTTCACAATACATCTGTTGAATATAAATATAATTTCCAATCGTAAGAACACTGCAGACAAAGGATATTAAAATTATAGAAGGAATGAATAAGAAACTTTATTACTTTCCAATAAAGTGATTTTTTTTTGCATTGAATTCTTTTTACTGTCTGTTCCAATCCTATTGTACAAACACACAATATATTATTCTCCGCAGCTAATTGTAAATAATTTCGACATGATTTTCTTTCCTGCACGTGGAAAAACCGATCGTGTTTTGACGTAGCCGCCCTTTTCTTTCTCGCAAGAACAAAGAATCAATACCATCATTACTTTTAATAACGCGCTAGGGCAAACAGATTCCTCATTAGCGTCTTAATTAGGCCTGCTCGCGGACGGATAATTAAGGGTGCTGGGCGTATTGTTTCTCGGCCATGGGAACAAGTGTTATTTGCATGTTGTGCCGCGAGGTGAGTTTCGTTCTCCAAGCTTGTCATCGGAAACTGTTACTTCCAGATGACGAGACTCGGCGGCGGGAAGACTTTTGTTCTGTGTTTGATATTTTTAATTAACTCACTCTCGGCTGCCGCGCGCCAATCGATTATTGTGTCAAAGAGAAACTCTCGCGGGCTCCGATACAACACAACACGGGTTTTCTAATTAACTAAATAAACTTGAGAAGTTGAATAAAAGTAAAATTGAAAAGAAAATGATGCATACAACATAAAAATAGTAAGCAATATTTATTTAATCTATTTTTAAAAATTTTAAAAGGATTTTATTATTTTAATTATAAAATTCCAGATTAAAATTGAAGAAAAACATCTCTGATTTATAATTGTGGAAATAAAAATTTGAAAAAAAAAATTCAGATGCAATCAAGTTTTGCTGCCATTTTGGCGGTGAATGTTCACTGAACCCATATTTTTGCTTGGAAAGCGCAAAAAAAGATGCGTCTTTTGTGGAAATGGTGACTAATGTCCACCACCCTAATGGAATGATATTGAATAAAGATGAATGGGAGAACAAAACTCGGCGGCTGTTTTGGTTGGCCGCTTTTCTTTCGTTCTCTCGCCGGCGTTTCTTTGTGCGGCGAGAGAGCAGCAGCACACACGCGCTCGCGTTTTTATCCATGGGTTTTATTTATTCGGCGAACGGACCTGCCTGGCGAACCAAAAGCAAGCAAGCAACCAACTTATTCTATTTGCACTTCTATTCAAATAGCAATCATAAAAGGGTCCAGAATAAATTCGCAGTCAGAGAGAGACGACTGATGTCTGCCGCTTCCATTGTGTGCGACGCTTTTCCATTTCCCGCGAACAAGGTGGCTTTACATATGGATGCCGTCGAAAATGCTAATATAGGCCGCTCTTTTAATACATTTGGTTAAAGGATTGCTTTTTACGAGTGCCGGACCAACGATTAGCTTCAGCGTTCATCGTTGCCTACTCGGAATTGCAATGTAATTGCTTTTGCGCCTGGATTTATTATATGTGTTGCTCCGTTGCGAACAATTGCACAACCGACCTTTTCTAGTTTCTACGTCGGATCTAGGTGCATTTTTTGCAGCGATAGCGATTTATATCCCGATTGCTCGGAAAGCCGTGGAAACCCACACAGAGAAAGGGAGTCTTCGATTTGCTTTTCACTTCTTTTTCTAAAGAATGAAAGATAAAGAACTTTCTTAAGAGGAAAATATCACAAGGATATATAATTGTCTTTTTCACTTATCTCTCGGCTTGACGATTTGCAGCAATTTTTTTATCAATATTGTGGAGAAATTCATCTTGTAAGACAACTCGCTGGAAATGGTTTTGTGACACGTCCTTCAGAGTTCCCTTTTTCCTCGTCCCTCGTCCCACGCCGGTGGGTGAAACGCAATTTCAGTCGAATTTCCGCTGTTTAGGACCCGATTCATCGATCGTCGCTCTTTTCTAACAAAACAGCGGCCGTGCATTGTTAAGAACAAATTTTAATTTCCTGCTTAATCTGCGGCCGGCCGACTAACCAAATTGCATCAGGCACTTCTTCTTTCCTTCTGCTTTTGGGCCGCACGCACATTCTCGGGGAATAAATTAACAGGCTTTGTGGAATGGAAGGAGGTCCCTTTGATGGAGCAGCTGAGCAAAACACCCCAACAGAAATCCTTTGAATGTCGGCTTGGAGATACGCGTTGGGGTTTGGAAAGAAATTGAATTTGCGACGCTGTAATGGTCACTGCTCCTTTGGGGACGGGCGCAAAGCAGCTGAAGTGAATGTCTGATTAGCTCTCGGGACGGGGGAAAAATTAAAATTGCCGAGATTAATATTATCCTCTCGTCGCGCTTTGGAATTACAAGCGAAACGAAAGAATATCTAATTAAAAAACTTTGTTCACCAACTGTCTGCTGGCGATAAATTCACCCAAGTGGAAAAATCCGCTGAATGCAACTCATTTGTTTGTTTTCCGATGGGATGCGCCACGAATACATATTAACTGCGCAAAAACAAACGGGGAAAAGCTGGAAGCATATTCTTCATTTTTTATATTTTTAATTGGAGCTTGCTCGGCGGAGATAAGTTCGTTTTACGACTGCACGTGTACTCGCAAAATTTATGTTCGGGGCGAAACAACCAGCGTTGTTGCTCGTCGCTTCATTATTGCCACCGCGCGAAATATAATTTGAAGACATACACACGGTTTTGCTGTTTGCTGTGCGCCACCGAGCAATAATAAAAGCGACATGTTTTCTGCGACAGGGGCGCGGATGCGAGCTAATTTGCACCGGCGTCGTCGGTTTGCCGTTATTATAAAATAAAGGCGACCTTGTTCGAATAATTTAATAAGGTTTGCAGCATTATAATACGTTGCTTGCAGCACACGGTCTCCACGCTGAAGAGTCGTTAATTCATTCCCAACGTTGCGCGAATCGGGGGAGAAAAAAATAATTAAAAGTCTCGTACGCGGAAAAACTCATTACTTCGGGAAATGCGCTGGCAAGCGCAGGAGACGGAAAATTGCGATGGGGAGAATGATAATGGGTCTGTTATGCGAGTAATTTTTTAGAAGGAGAATTGATTGTACGAATATGAGATTAGATTCCCATCAATCTTTTCCACATCAGGACCAAAAATGAAGATCACAATAATTGAGTCATAATACATCATTTATAAAAATTAAAAAGCACGAGTTTTCATAATGTGTGAATGTTTGATTTGAGCGACTCTTATATTTAGTAACGAAATCATGGAAAAAATTATTTCCGATTTATTTACTTCAATTTTAATTACCATGTTAATTTTATTATTATAACTCTTCATTGACTTACAAAATTAGGTATTGAAGCAAAATTTTTATACATAATCTGATATAAACATAAAATGTTCGCTGATTTTTCCAATTTTTTTGTATCGACTGAGAATAATAAATAATAATAATAATTAATTAATTAATCACTCCTAAAATAAAATTGAATATTTTTTTAACTTAAATATGATCGAAAGTTATATAAAATTTCATATAATTTAAATATATTTGAATTTGAAAAAAAAAATCTTTTTGATTAAAAGTGTTTATTTGTGTACGATTTTTATAAACTCGTTAGTTATTTTGATTAGTTTAAAGTTTAAACAGTTTAGTTTCAGAAATTTGTTTATTGGGTTCAAAACTGAGGGCAACTTTGCCCCATACATGAACTGATCCATATTAATGACAATAAGAATTTAAAATAAGAGAGAAAGACAACAAGGGTCTTTTTGATCTCGAAAGTTTCAGCAAAATTCATACTAGCGGTAGTGCCGTTTAGACCAATTCTTTTTGTTTTCAAATTGTTTTCAACAATTGAATGTAAACAATGTATTGTAATCATGAGGAAAAATAATCAAAAACAATAACAAAAATAATTTAATTTAAAAATTTTAGTTTTAAAATACGATTCTTCTATTTTAGAATTGCTCTCGCGCAGGATCCATTTCGTTTTGTTTGCATAATTATCAGAATGCCATTTCAGTCCGGCTCCCTGCCGTTGCCAAACTCAGCACATAAATTTCCATCAGACAATAGTGAAACCACGACGTATATTTA